TTTCTAAAGAAAATTGGTTTAACATGTTCCATATCCAGTTCAATTTTTGTCGTTTTCAAGGAAGGCTCACTCAACAGCAAGGGTATCTCATTAGAAATTGCATCTGTACTAATAAAGTACTAACAATGCATCTTTCTATGTGATAGAGGTAATGGGGTTGGAAAATATTGTTGAAATAGACTTGGTAAGTTACTGCAGTACAGTTTGCATTTGGTTCATTGTATATCAGTGATGGAGGAAGTGAATATTTAAGTTAGTGGATGGGGTGCCGATGAGGTGGGCTGCATTTATTTAGCTTGTACATGGGACCTGGGTGTCTCTGGCTCGACCAGTATTTATTGTCCATCCCTAAATACTTAGTGGGCAGTTAAGGGTCAACTACATTGCTGTGGATCTGGAGCCACATGAAAGCCAGACTACGTAAGAATGGCAAAGTTTGTTCCCTGAAGAAAATTAATGACTGAAATGGGTTTTAAGTGGTTAAATGATCACCATTTGGCTAGCTTCCAATTCCAGATTTTATTGAATTCAAATTTCACCACCTACCATAGTCAAATTAGAATCCAGGTCCCCAGAACATTAGTCTGGGTTTCTGGATTACATGTCCAAAAACGTTACCATCATCTCGATCATTACGCCACCACCTTCTGCTTTGTTGCAATGGTGCTTGACTTGTTAAATGGTAAATATTCCACACATGATTGACTGTGTTTTGTAGATGATGGAGAGGTTTTCAGGATTCAGAAGGTGAACTATTTGTCCTAGAATTCCCAGTCTCTGACCTGGCTTTGTAGCCAAAGTATTTATATGGTTGGTTCAGTTAATTTCTAGTCAGTAGTAACCCCAGGATGTTGATAGTGAGGGATGCTGGAGACGGTCATGGCCTGGTACTTATGTCCTACAAATGTCATTTGCCGCTTGTCAATCTCACAGCTCTTTGAGGGACAACCTTCCAGATTTCCATTACTTTGTGTAAAGAAGTATTTTCTAAAATTATTCCTCAATGGCCACGCTAATTTTAAGGTTATATCCTTGCTATAAACTCTCCCACTAGAGGAAAATGTTTATGTATTTAACGTATCCTTTAATCATGTTAAACACTTGAATCAGATCATTTTTTACACTTAAATGCCTGGACTAAGCAGTCAGTCCTCATAACTTAATCATATTTACACAGGTATAATTCTGGTAAACCAGTGCTGTACATAATTTAAGACCAATAAATACAGCCTGAAAAGCCCAGAAAAGAATGCAGTAATGTGAATGGGGTCTAACCAGAGTTCCGTACAACCATCACAGAACTTCCAGTCCTTTACATTCTAGCCCTCTTGAGATACTTTCATGCCATTAACTTTTTTTAATGATGCTCTCATAATTGTTAAAAGCCATTGCATAGGTTTGTAGATATCAAAGAGACATTATTCACCAAGACACTAGACAGCCTGAATGCATGTCATTCTCTTTGTTAGTGAAGGGTAGCAAATTAACTGGAAAAGATGGAAGAATATATCATAAGAGCTGAAATATTGTACTCTTAAGAGAAAGAGTTAATGCTATTAACTGTTCATTTTGAATTTCTAAAATGATCTTTATTACTAGAACAAAATACTGATGTGGCAATATGCATCATGTATTTATTTTTCAAGTGGCCAGCCCAAACAAAACAGTCAGTCAAAGAGGGAAAGGTTATTCTATTCCACAGTTCTATTACCCTTCACCTTCTGATCAATAAAAATGATCACTAAAAGAATCTACAGAGGTCTCCTACAGGTGAGGTTTGTGCACTAAAATATCAATATGAGTGTACATATAATTGTACTGGTTTCAAATTTAGACAACTATCAATTTAAACTTTGGAATTGCATTTTTCCAAGTTGAAATAAAGACTACAATTTTGAAATATCTCATGTACCTGGTAAATCAAAATTCCAAAAATATAATGCGAACATTGTTTTGTTTGGTACATTAAAACTCCTGATCAGATATTTATTTCTGTATAGATATAACAACAAATACTTTTGATTTAAAAATGGAATTATTGAAATGACTGATGCAAGCAAGTATGTAACAGGTGGCATATATCATGTGCAAAATGTCTACGATCAAACTCTGATTAATCTAACTCAGTTTATGTTAACCTTGAATAATACCTGTGTCAGACTGAGTGGCGTTCGGTAGTTATGAAGTGTTAGGCTAAATTATGGAACTGATTCTAAAGTTAGTTTCTTAACGTTTTTACATAATAGGCAGTATTGTGTAAAGAAAGGAACTTAAATTACTGCAGAGTTTCAAATACATGTCAAACCTACAAAACTGGATTTTTTTTTCAGGTGATTGAAAAAAACGGTAAAACCTTACAATAAAAAATAAGTTGTTGTGAAACTACAAACTCTTTAAGGAGAACAGCAGCAATGTGGTAGCATTTTCACACTTACATCCCTTCAATCATTTTAGTGATGAGAGCAGGATTTTGGGTTCTTGAAGGAAAAAGAATTGGCTGTCTCGGCTAGTTGGCCGTATATGTTGGACGAGACTGTAGGGGTGCGTCTACTCTACTATCCAGTACATCTGTCAATTTAGTTGATTTCTTTAGTGACTGCCGCCCCGGTGCATTATTCGCTGTAAAATAATCCACAGTAGGGAAGAAGTTCTGAAAAAGCGTCACATCAGACTCGAAACGTTACTTCTGTTTGTGTCTCCACGGATGCTGCCAGATCTGCTGAATTTTCCAACATTTTCACCACAAATAGAAAATGAAGCGAATGAGTTAGGAGTCAACCATCCATGGAAGTAGCAACTCTGTTAGCATGGGAAAATTAGGGCAAAGTCCAGATTCGTTATTTGCAATCTCCACGTTAACATGCCAACAGAGCAACTTAACCGGTTGAAATTTAACAATTATTCACATATATAACAAAAAGTCTGAAATACTCAGCAGGCCAGGCAGCATTCGTATACAGAGATGTTTCAGATAGATGCCATTTAATCACATCTCGAAACATTTCTCAGTTCTAAGAAAATGCTTTTTTCTGTCGTCACAGATGTCTGATCTGCTAAGTATTTCTAACATTTTCTATTCTTACATTTAATCATGCGTAGTTTGTGCATTCAATTGGGAGTAAAGTAACGAATGTTTATATCATTTACTGTTCTAACAGTGTGCGAGTGATGTGGGATCTTTTAACCCGAGCAAGTTCTGGATACCTAGTTAAATACAATATTCCCTGGACCAAATACGCTGTGATTCTGGTTATCCTCAGGTGCAAGACTACGATTGAATCACCTGCCTCACATTTCAGGTTTTATATTTGAAGTCAAATTATCTGGATCCACATGAAAGATTAAACAGTCTTACCAGTAAATTCGCCTTTACTACTGACCACTTACCATTCAATGTCTGAATTCTGATTCTGGCCAGTTTTATCTGCCTCTTTAACCTCAAGGAGATCCTGGGTTAGCCCAGCGTTTTCAACTAAAAAAAACGATGGATTAAAAGTATGTCCTTTTCAGAGAGACTTAACCAATGATCTCCAGGTGAACAGAGAAATAAAACCTATTGAATTATGGTGATTTTTGAAGTAAATGATATCGTTGATCTCTCGGCGAAAGGCCACTTAAAATATCATATTAAAAAGTAGCAGGCGGTGAGAGAGAGTAGCAAAGGTTAACGGGCTAAAACGAAACCAAGTCACAAAATAACAATTGTATTCCAAGACCATGGAGCTGTTACATTCCGAACTTAAACTTTATGTACCTTCAAATTATTACAATGAATGCGTTTATTCAAATTAAGAAACTAAGTGAAAAGACTCAAGTTCTGTGCATAACCAAAATTGAAAAGTGACAGTGGGTGACAGTAAATTGAGTTTTTAAAACCTGAAGAATGCAGGAGGAATGGAGTGAGGAGTTCGCCAGTTTATTCACTTCGGGGTAGAATGAGTTGTAGTAAGCAATGAACGAACTTTGATTTCAGCAGTGAGGATGAAGGGAGGAGGTAAGAGGCATAGGAGGACAATGTCGCTGCTCAGTAGCAACCAAGGAGCAAAGACTGAAGTAACAGAACAAGACAAGCTGCTAAGCAGAGAGGGTTGAGGCAGATAGGGAATTGTGCGTCAGACATGCTCTCCCCATCACACCCCCACTGGCAGCCCTCCCTCCCCCAAAACCACCACCACCTTGTTTCCAACGTACAAGTGCTTAATGCACTTTATCAATAATGCTTTCAAACCTCATTCATATGCCCTCGAATAAAGTTTCATTTTGTTTGACTTCAATCAGACGATGGCTTAGTTCCCAGAGGAGCACTTTCTCACGGGTTTCAGGTGTGTTGCTTCCATGTATGTGAAATCATGCGGCATAAATTCTGCCACTTCGAATCAGCGTTGTTTCTTATGTATGAATTAAATGTTGCAGAAGGAAGTGACTGCATGCAGTGTCCAGTGCAGGGATTGTCCAGAGAATATGGATATAAGGTGAAGTATCGTGGCAGATAACCGAAGAACATGTACGTGTCCAAGTTTAACCAATGCATTGATTAGCCCTCAGTTCCATCTCAAAATGAGATAACTAGCTCCTTCTTCCCTATCACATTTTAAACTCAAAATCCAGATTTACAAAAATGTTGCGCAAAACTGATTTAATTTAGTGCAAAATGGAAATCGATTTTCCATACCATTATCATCAATTATTAGTTTAATTAAAAATGAAGTGAAAATTGACAATTCACATAATATATTTTGGAAGTGGGGTACATCCATTTTATAAGAATTGGAAAATCTAATTGTGAAAGGGGATCTCTATGAAGTGATCCATTAGCTCTATTACCTCGCTTCCAGCTCCCTCGTTTATTTTTAATCCCTTTTGAATGGAGTGCGCCCCGCCCTATCTCGGCACCTATATCACCTCCTCCAACCACTTGAAATCTTTTAGAATTGTTTGATTGTGGAGTTGCTTTCAACTCTTAAAGAATGAGGGGGGAGAGGTTTGCGGGGGGAAAATGATTTTCGATCCTTTCATACAAGTCGTTTCACTTGATTGACTTGAAATAACTGCTTATAAAACCGAGGCGCTGCAGCTGGGATATGTGCTCCTGCTCTCGAATTCAGATTTGCGTTTGCTCCCGTGCCATTTTCATCTTTGAGAAAGGAATTGAGGGAGAACCGAACCTTTCGTTGTAAAAAACACAACTTTAAAGTGATTACCATGAATAGCTATGGTGCTCCATATCTGTACGTACCCACCGCGTCTTCCCGAGCACCAGCTCAGAGAACTCCCAAGTGCGCACGGTGTCGGAATCACGGGGTGCTCTCCTGGCTCAAAGGCCACAAACGCTACTGTCGCTTCAAAGATTGCACTTGCGACAAGTGCATCCTCATCTTAGAAAGACAGAGAGTCATGGCCGCGCAGGTGGCTCTCAGGAGGCAACAAAGCAACGAGAATCCTTGCAATCTGGTTTTATCTGAGGATTACAGAGCAATGTATCCAGCCCCCGAGAGATTCGAGGACTCGGCCCCTTCCGATAGCGTGTACTCAGCCGGCAGAAGCAGAAACAGACTTGACGAAACGACACCTGCGGATTCCATGCTACATCAGCAACCGGGTAGGAAATTCACACAGACCAGAAATGTTTGAAGGGTTTTCTTCGCACTGTGTACGCGAGCGGCGTGAAATTATAAGACCACACTGTTCGCATAGATATTCCCTCGACTGTAAAAAGGCAGTGCAGGAATATTCTTGTATTGTTGCAGTCACTCGATATTAGACGTCAGGTTTATTTTTACCTTAACACCTCACGTGAAATGCTGCGCCGCTTCACAACATTTGTAGTCCTCTGAATTTAAACAGGTATTTTCTTGTTGCGTTTCTTGGCAAAAGAGCTGAAACGTTGTCTCATTTAAGTATTATTTCAAACACAGCTAAACATTGATGGGGATATTATCGGGTCACAGAGATCTCACACTCAATGAAAAATACTGTGAAATGCAGTGTGGACAAGGTGATTTATAAAAGGCAGTACTTCACATAATTGACATTCATGCCTCCAGTTTGTTGTATCTATTCCAAAAACGGGACGTTAACTATATTCGATGTTCCCAGTTTGCTGCAGCTATTTCAACGGTTGGCACGTTGCTGCTTTCTGTTACCGTACAATTTGGAACTATTCCAGGAATGGTGGGAGGCTATGAAATGGGATGACTTTGCTTCCCGGTAGGGATAAGGATTTCTGATAGGAACATCGGGTGGGATACATTTACACCAAACATCAAACAGATTTTTCCATACCCATAGTGCCCGGCTGCTCCTAAGAGCGCGAATGTCGGAAAATGGCTATTTAGCTGTTGAGAATTTAAACCAAACCGCGGGAACGGCGCATACCGAAATGCTGGCATGTTTAACAAACGTTTTCTAAATATTTGCTTGCTGCCAAATGCATCATTTTTTATGTTTAACCAATTATATTTAGAATTTAGTAGCATCCCGTTATGCCTCTTCACCTTCATCTCCCATATAAGGTGATCTGAGGATGAGAATAACGGTGTTCAATCAATGAACGTTAGTTGTCACAAAATAGTTGAAAAGGATTTCTTGACGCCGCGAGCATGAATAACCTATGTCGAGTAAGCGGCAGGAACAGACTTTGGTTTAAGGAACAAGGAGAAAGAGCAGCACAATATGCAGTGACTGCAACAATCTGGATGCTATTTTAACTGAACAATCATTGTTAAAGCAAGCCATTCTTGTTATCCCCTTTTCTCTGAAAACTGATTATTCTTACTACAAATTGGCTTCCTGCTTGTTTTTCCACGTTCAACAAATCAAAGAGCCGGCTAGTTCAAAGCTATAACACTCTAGTTATGATAATTGCGCAGGGGTGAAAAGGGGGATTGATCTGTTTGGATGCCCCGCGTTTACCGTTTCAGCCCCAGGGACGTGATTAATCACTGCAGAGCACAGGGATTAAGGGATCAAATTGCCTGGTTACAAGTGAAACAAAGAGAGACCTGCTGCTGGGATAATTTCGAGGTATTTCAAAAAGAAATATAAAAATAACCCGCACATTTATAGGCTTGTATTATTCCAATTAAGTCATTCGTGACTACTTCAGGGACACTTGTGTTTAACGTGACATTGACATATCTGAAAAATATAAGAAATTGATCCCGATTGACATTTTGCCATTAGTTCCTACGACAGCCTAACATTTCTGTATTTACCATTTTAACTCCACGTTCAGAAAATGAATGTGTTACGTTTCGGAGTTGTTGGAGAGTTTTTGTATTATGATTTAATAGTTAAGGTTTTTATTAGGGATCATTTTACCGTAGTTCTCAAAGGTTGACGAGTGAAGTCCTTAGAATGAGGATAAAGGAAGGTAAAATAGGTAACCTGTTTTAGCGTGCGTTAGCGATTTATTTATATTTTCACTCATTGTTCCGGTCAATTCCATGTATATTTAAATGTCGTCATTTCATAATTCACAATATTAAACTTTGAAACAAATGAAAAGTAAATCCTAACCAGCATCTCTGGGTAACAATGGAAAAATAACTGACGAGACTAATTCATGTAACATAGAGTTATTTCATTCCAAAACTTCAAATAAATTGCCGGATAGTCTCTGCTAGCTTCTCAGCTTCCCGGATAGGTCTTTCGCCAGGATTTGCAGTTAGCAATGTCTTAAAAGGAAAACGCAAAGTAAAATTTTTTAGTGTCCTTAGACCAGCAACAAAACCTTGTTTTTGGTTAAAACACTTGTTAGCAGCGTCATTTTTCCTTAACTAAACACCATCATACATTTTTCAATTATCAACTTTTATCTATGTCGTAAATGTAATCTTACATTCCAACTTCAAAAACTGCCGGTCAACTTGCCTTCACGGCTGTACGTTGGAAAAGATTCGAGTCTAAATATTCTGTTTTCTTGTATAAACATTAAATGTATTGGTAAACATCTCTAGATGATGTTCTTAAGTCAAGAAAATAATATTTTTTGGTAGATTGGCGGATAGACATCAGTTGTATTTGAACGCAGAGAAAATGCAATAGTTAAATTTTGAGGATGGGAGCATATAGAGGAATTATGCACTGAACTGTAAAACTTTGAAAAAAATACCGGTAATAAAATCAACAGACTTAGAATTTCAAATGTGCAAATCTTTAAAAAAACAGGACAACCTGATAACACTATGAGAATATCTACGGAATCCCAGGTTTTATACACAGCAATATTATGTTGCAATGACACAAACCGTTTCAGAGCTGCTACACTGTCAAAGACTGAATAACGTGGTTGTGCGGTGTAAAATTCTACTGCCATGGCAATTACTGTGTTATGTGCAATTAGTACAAGAGAGAAAAATCGCCATGAAGGATACATTGGAAACTTACATATTACATTGGGAAGTAAAAATAGCTCCGCAAGTATCTTAAAGTTGCTTCGTTATCCACAATTAATGCGTACAACACTGCGTCGCACTGGTTGAACTGGAGCTTTGAAGCACGAATTTAAGGGCGCACCTACCTCGCCATATATCTACACTCTCTCTGTTCTGAGGGAATATGAACGTAAAATTTTGAGTGGTCTAATACCCAAGTTAAAGTTAGTTTGGCTTTACATTCAGAGAAAGGTAGATTCCTGTATGTTACAATGCACAATAGCGTAAAACATTCATTCATCACATTGTAATTAATCATTACACCTATTTATTGTCAGATGAATATGAAGATGTCGAAGGAAAAGATGCTGATAACAACCAGAAGAAGATTACAGAAAGTGAGGTGGAAGAGCCAGTTTCATCCACAGATACCCAAAACAGCGATTTATCATTGCCCCTCCCAGAATCAAACAATGACATACAGCGGAAGAAGGAAAACAAAGAACACGTTAAAGTTGCCACCAGATATAACTTCAATGACATCAGGAAGTTCTTGAAGTCGGAAGACGTGCTGAAGGACATGGTTCCTTCAGGAAAGTCTAAAACGCCTCCTATTGAGGTTCTAGCCAAGGTATTTCCGAATCAGAAACAGTCCGTCCTGGAGCTGGTGCTGAAAGGTTGCAACAATGATTTGGTTTCAGCAATTGAAACCTTACTGTCCAGCACCACCAGGCGATCTGAAGGATCGAAGAATTACAACAAACCACAGACCTCCAAGGACATAGCTGACTACAACTCTGGTCACTGTCCTTTAACTTCATCAGCTTGGTCTCTGAGTTCTGCCTTTAGATCCCCGTCTGATGCCTTCCAGGTATCCCCAAACAGCCACAGTGTTGTAGCAAGTTTGCCCAATGTCACTCATACAATTACACAACCCAGTCATTACCCTGTGCCAACCCTTTTCAGACCAACTTTGTCTGGCTCTCATCCCTTTGTTTCCAGTGAATTTGCTCTGTGGAGCACAATGACCTTTCAGCACCCTAGCCTGAGACAACAGTTTACTTCCTTGGCTCACTCCACTAGTGCCCTGTTGGGAAGCACCACAATGGTCCTACCTGCTCAAAATGAGACTTCCCAAAAACCATCTGTCTGTGATGGGAAACTGGCAGAAAAATCTTTGAAATATCTTGAAGAAAGACAAGAAGGCAAGAAGTAGCAATTTGGATTTCAAATTCCTTAGCTCTGCTTCATTAAACTTTGAGAATCAATGAGTTGGCATGTAAAACAAAAAGTTGCCCTGAAGAATAAATACTGACAAAGGAAATCCTGAAATGGATTTTGTAAAATAGATGTCTGTCTTAAGTACCTGTAACAACTTCTTGTTGTAATAGTCAATGTGAGAAATGTTCATTTTATTTAGAATTTGATCTCATTAAAAACAAGCTAGATTATGTAAAGTCAAAAATGGTTCTTGAGCATAATTATCATGTCATTTTCACTATAATTTGTTTGAAATTAAGTAAATGGAAAATATGCACCATTTTAGCAAATCAACAATTTGGTATATGGAATACAAATTTCATTCACTTATTGGCTTTGAAACAATGCTAAAATATACCAGCATTTAATAGCAATTATTGTCATGTGCCATGAACAATATCTAAGCTTTAAAATCTTTTAAATTATTTTATTGAGAATTACTGATCACACAAATACAATTGTTTCACATGATATCAAATGTGTAAAAATAGGACATGCTGAGCTGCTAAAAATTTAATTTCATGGCCTCGTTTGCAGTCTAATTTCACGTTACCCCATTGCATTCCATTTTTACACATTTGATGTCATGTGCCATATCACAGTTGCATATTTTACACTATTTCTCCATCCTGATTATGTGCTGCAGTTGATTGTCCACATCAGAGTGTCTTTCCCTGAAATGATTTTAGTCCCTTCATATATTTTTAACATAAATGCGACTTTTAAAATTATCTTTTGATGACAAACTTGAGCAAGAACAATGATGTTATAATTTATGTTTTCCAATCATAAAACAGTGCATTGCACATTTTGTTATATTCTATAGTCTAAGCATTTAAACTTTCATCCATTAACTAACTAGGTAAGTTATTTTAGTGACCTGGCTTCATTGGCCTGCTAACAGATTCCCTTACCAGACAGAAAACAGCCAGAAAAAGACATTCAGTTTGATCTGATCACTGTTCTTTGCTCCCACAGTTAGTTGGCACTACTTTTAATGTTTTGTCTCCTAAATCAACTTTTTAGAAATTGTTTCCAAACTGACTGAAAACTAAATTAAAGATATGAACCGCAGCTCTGGGAGAATCGAATGAGTTGGAGACACAGGAGAAAAGGTAAGTTTAGGTTTGTCTTATTTTGGAAAAAAAAGTTCTTCTCATACCAATTTTCTTCAGCTGTGAATAAGTAGACTCTTTGCTGAGATAGGTCTCCTTAGGATCTCATCTAATATGTTATTTTCACTTGTGAGCTATCACATGAAAACTGTTTTTTGTCTCCATCCAACATCCACACAGTGCGCTTCCAGCAGGGGTAGCTAAGAATAAGCAAGTGTAGGAGTTCATGGCTGGCTGGCAAAGGGCAGAAACTGGGGATAAAGGGGTCTTTTTCAGGATGGCAGGCAGTGACTAGTGGAGTTCTGCAGGGGTTAATGTTAGGACCACAACGCTGGGATAAAGGAATTAAGAGCATTGTTGATCAGTTTGCAGATGACACAAAGATAGGTGGAGCGACAGGAAGTGTTAAGGAAGTGGGAGGTTGAAAAGACAGGCTAGGAAAGTGGGCAAAGAAATGGCAGATGTAATACAATGTGGCAAAGTGTGAAGTTAGGCAGTTTGGTACGATGAACAGAAGTGTAGACTATTTTCTAAAGGGAAAGGCTTTGGAAATCTGAAGCATGAACGGATTTAGGAGTCCTAGTTCAGGACAGAATAGAATATCCTTTATTGTCACATATACTCCATTGTAGAGGTATAGTGAAAAGCTTGTACAATGTCTGCCTCTTATGGTGATTCACTTTAAAGTTAACATACAGGTTCATTTGGCAGTTAGGAAGGCAAATGCAATGTTAGCATTAATTTCAAGAGGGCTAGAATACAAGAGCAGAGATGTAGTGCAGAGGCTGTATAAGAGTTTAGTCAGACTGAGTTTGTCATATTGTGAGCAGTTTTGGGCCCTGTATCTAAGGAAGGATACGCTGGCATTGGAGAGGGTCCAGAGGAGTTTCACAAGAATGATCCCAAGGATGAAGGGCTTGTCAAATGAGGAGCGGTTGAGGACTCTGGGTCAGTACTCAATGGAATTTTGAAGGATGGGAAGGGGGATCTGATTAAAACTTACAGGATGCTAAGAGGCCTGGATAAAGTGGGCATGGAGAAGATAATTTCATTTATAGGAGAGACTAGGACCTGAGGGCACAGCCTCACAATGAAGGGATGACCCTTCGGAACTGAGATGATGAAGAAATTCTGCAGCTGGAGGGTGATGAATCTGTGGAACTCATTTCCACAGAACAATGTGGAGGCAAAGTCATTGAGTGTATTTAAGAAAGAGATAGATAAGTTCTTGATTAGTAAGGGGATCAAGGATTATGGGCAGAAGACAGGAGAATGAGATTAAAAAACATATCAGCCATGATCAGACTTGATGGGCTGAATGGCCTATTTTTGCTGATATATCTTACTGTTTTATGGTCATTCATTGAGTTCTTTCCTTAGGCAGGTTCTAACTCAAGTTTGTAACACATTCTTGAGTTGTATTTTTGGAACTGTAGTTTTTGGTTTACTTTCTCACTTTCATTGTCAATGCCTTCACCTATATAGGCTGCAAAAAAGACTAAAGAGCCCCATTTAACTTTATTACCGGCCACATGCACCCACTGGAGGAAAATACCTTCCTGAACCCCAGATGTCAATCCAGCATTTTCAAGCTGGGGATCTTTAAAGTGTGGCCTGATCCTCACTTTCTGATTTAGAGATAGGAATACTAAGAGTGATCCAGCAGTCACCCTGTCTGGATATGAGCATTCCACTGGATTCCACCTGAACATTTAGGACGACACTTTGGTCTCCACTAACCAGGGCTTGCGGAACAGCTCAAATTCCGTATTTTCTGACTCCAAGGCTGGAATGCTACCACTGAGCTAAAAGTTTATGTACTTGAGCAAGGAAAACTTAACATAAACAAGAAAATTTTCTCAGTATAGGTAAGTTGAAAGAGATATGTTAAAATTAAATTACACAAAAACACATAGCAAAATGATTTATCTAATTGTGATGTATCCACAAAACTTTGCTTTTAGTTGCCAATATCTTTTCATCAGTATTTTACAACTTCTTTAAAAATGGTGCTTTCTTCTGTTGTTTTATATGTTATACTTGAAATAAACATTGTCAGAAACAAATAAAAACATTGAATATTCAAGAATGAATGCCTTGGAACGGTTGAGAGAATAAACAATAGGTGAGATTGAAATCAAGCTCCAATTTAATGTGCACATATTTTTATGAATTCTGTATGGGGAGACTGACAACCCCGCTCTGTAAATTAAGGTTGGGGTTATGCATGAAAAGGGAATTTCTTCAGCATCAATGGGAAATATCTTGAGTAGAGGAAAATGGAGAAAAAACATTTATCAGTGGAGATTCTTCACCAGGTGCACACATTTCTCATCCCTTAACTGCTCCTGAGCACACTTCCACTAAACAGAGTTCCTTCCTACTGTGATGACCAAGATGCACAGGTGTAAGTGGGACAGTAAAGAAGCATGCAACAAGCATCTCATCTGCCAGAGCAGGGAATCAAGTGGCCCTTCCTGCTGATCTGCTAAAGCCACCAAGATTTCACCATGTAGGAGTAAGAAAAAATGGCTGAGATAAACATAATAGTCACATAAGGGGATAGACTTGTATATTAATTCTAATGGCATTTTATCAATGTTCAATTTAATGGATGAATCTCTATATTTGAACTTTTCACTCTCTTGAGCTCTCAGTCATCGGCATTCACACTGGAGAGTAATCTTCAAGTGAATGGAATGACTAACCTTTATGAGGGGGAAAGAATGTGAATAGGTTACGTGGAACAATCCCTCTTCCGTACCTACACCGGCCCTAAACCCCACCTCTTCCTCTGTTACATTGATGACTGTATCGGTGCCGCCTCGTGCTCCCACGAGGAGCTCGAACAGTTCATCCACTTCACCAACACCTTCCACCCCAACCTTAAGTTCACCTGGACCATCTCTAACACCTCTCTCTCCTTCCTGGACCTCTCTGTCTCCATCTCGGGCAACCACCTAGAAACAGATATCCATTTCAAGCCCACCGACTCCCACAGCTAATTAGAATACACCTCCTCCCACCAACCTTCCTGCAAAAATGTCATCCCCTATTCCCAATTCCTTCGCCTCCACCGCATTTGCTCCCAGGATGAGGCATTCCACTCCCGTACATCTCAGATGTCCTCGTTTTTCAAGGACCGCAACTTCCCCCCCTCAGTGGTCGAGAACGCCCTCAACCGTGTCTCCCGCATTTCCCGTAACTCATCCCTCACACCCCATCCCCGCAATAACAACCAAAAAAGAATCCCTCTCGTCCTCACGTACCACACCACCAACCTCTGGATCCAACGCATCATCCTCCGACACTTCCGCCATCTGCAATCCGACCCCACCACCAAAGACATCTTTCCCTCCCCACCCTTATCTGCTTTCCGGAGGGACCACTCTCTCCGTGACTCCCTTGTCCGCTCCACACTCCCCTCCAGCCCCACCACACCCGGCACTTTTCCCTGCAACCGCAGGAAGTGCTATACCTGCCCCCATACCTCCTCCCTCACCCCCATCCCAGGCCCCAAGAAGACTTTCCACATCAAGCAGATGTTCACCTGCACATCTGCTAATGTTGTATACTGCATCTGCTGTATCCGTTGTGGCCTCCTCTACATCAGGGAAACCAAGTGGAGGCTCGGGGACCGCTTTGCAGAACACCTACACTCCGTTCGCAATAAACAACTGCACCTCCCAGTTGCGAACCATTTCAACTCCCCCTCCCATTCCTCAGACGACATGTCCATCCTGGGCCTCCTGCAGTGCCAGAATGATGCCTCCCGAAGGTTGCAGGAACAGCAACTCATATTCCGCTTGGGAACCCTGCAGCCCAATGGTTTCAATGTGGATTTCACAAGCTTCAAAATCTCCCCTCCCCCTACCGCATCCCAAAACCAGCCCAGCTTGTCCCCACCTCCCTAACCTGTTCTTCCTCCCACCT